CCATGAATGAAGAGAACACCTGCAGTAGACCCCCCTTGATATTTTCAGAACCCTGCCCTCTCGCTGCTTTGTTACGGTCTGTCAGTAATGGCATTTTACCAAGACATTCCTGATACAGCAGAGCTCTAGGACAGGGGACAATGCTTTGGAAAAAAAATCTGAAAAGACACAGTTGGCATGAGTAATTTAGACTCAAGGAGAATTATATTTTATTGGAAGCATTGCACTTTGTAAAATCAGTCAGATTTTATTGATGAATGTCCAGTTACATTTTATGTGTAATTTAGGTTTATGATATAGAGTTTTGTGACAGGATCTGTCAACTATTTATTGTTTGACTGTGTTAATAGCTGACATTAAGTATTACTACTGAAAGACATGACGTTATTGGACAGATCTGGTTTTAAAATATTTAAAAATGAGATTCATCGTGTGTTTAACTGTAAGACAAAGCCTGAGATCAAGCTGGTTGTAGACAAAGAAGAAAGGATAGTGTAGGTATGTGCTCCTTTGTTGTCGAGCTGATTAATGATTTGTCCTTGTAGACCACAGCTGGAGCTTACAGCTTAATGATACAGGGGCATATGAGTGTGTATGTTTGCTGGTGGGGGGTAGGGTTTGTGCAGGAATTGTGTGTTGGTAATAAGGGGGGAATGTGTGTATCTACGTAAGGTGTGTTAATATGTTTGAAATTGGTTATTAGGTTGGATGCTTATGTACCCCATTGTGTTTCCTGCTCTCTGGACTGTTTGGATGGTAAATGTTGTGTATGGATGAGGACAATTTTCTAAGTTCTGCCTGAAGAGAAATACACATATTCTCTCAGTGAGATGAAAAGATTGATGAAATACTCATGTCTTTACAGACAATATGAAGCTACAGTTGCAACTTTTCATGGCCGAGCATTAAGACTGCAAAAAAGTAAGAAAGCCTGTCTGCCCCTGATTAAAAGGTAATGCTCATCTCCAAGCTGCGTTTGTTGTAATTTATAATGAATGCATTGATTGAACAAATTAAGTACAATGTGTCTTTAAAAAGCATTCACTCTAGTTTTAGCATACAGACACATTCTATTTAATCTTTGGTAAGAGAGCACATTATTTTGTTTGGGTTCTGGTGATGGAAAACTAAAACATGTTTCCAAATTGGGTGAGCATAGAAAATAGTTGGCAACTTAGCAGAGCACTGTTATAAGTGAAGAAAGTAATGCAGAAACTGTTGAAATATGTAGCTATGATACATTAAGTAATAAACAGTTGAAATAAAGCTGAAGGGGAACAAAAGAAAATGCATAACATAAATTGTACAAATAGTTTGTTCAAGGTATTTAACAGTTTCTTAAAAGTAATGTGGTAAAAATGCTTACATGAACAAACTAACCTAACAGAGTCAAGGCTTTTGCACAATGAGTATGTTTTTTCAGATGCGTTTTTTGGATCCGTAACCCAGAAAAATAAAATTGTAGGCACAGGCACATAGCACATTGAGTCCTTTATCTTTAGCTTTTCATTTTTTACTGAGGGCGCACTCACACTAGCAATCCATACCGTGCCCAAGCACGCTTCACCCATAAAGTCTAGTTTGTTTGACTAGTGTGAATGCTCTGATCCGTGCTCAAGCACGGCACACTTCCTTTGGCCTGGCACGCTTCGAAGAGGTGTGCTTAGGCACGGTACAGTTCATGCATGCAACATTGACAGCCTTCATTATGGAGTGCTCTGGCTGTGTCTGACTACATTGACTCAAAATAAGCTTCAAAGTCGTAAAATAACTGTGTTCTCTGATGTGCTGACGCAGACCCGACTTTTTTCAGAGTTCGTCTGTCTTATAAACGAAGCATGCTTGACGTAAAGCCATGCATGTGTTGTATATAATGTGAGACAAAATGTCTCGTACTCCTCATGCAGAGTGCTCAAGAAATGAAGATGATTTTGTGGGGGGTCTGTCCTCATGAAAAAAAAAACAAGAGCGAGGAAAGTTTCACCTGTCACTAAATGACAGTTTTTCCTTTTGATTAGGAGCTGCAGAATCCTCCCGATCGCTTCCAGGTGTATTTCAGGATGTCAGTGGTCCAGTTTTAATGCACTGCTCTGGAATCATCACATACTAATAAGAATTACCACCAGCATTACCACTAACCTACTGATCCTGAACAGCATCTGGCAGTATGGTAGGGACGTTAAAGACACACACACACACACACACACACACACACACACACACACACACACACACACACACACACACACACACACACACACACACACACACACACACACACACACACACACACACACACACACACACACACACACAGGGCTGGATGAAAAAAAAATGACGTCCAGGAGTTCGGTAATCAGTATGCAAACATAACTGACATTTTTTTTTTTTTTTTACGTGCCTCAATTTTGGATGTAGAAAACAGACTCATTGTGCAATGGCCTTAAGCATTAACATCATCCAGTTCAAATGGGTTTCACCGGTGATAACTCAGGTGGACTGTAGTTTTACACATCTCAAAGCCACTGTAAGGCGTTTTTATCTGGATGAGGAATAGACTAAATGGTGCCTCTAACTGAACAAACAGTTATATTCACAATGAAGGATACTTTTCACTGTTGAAATGAAGTGATAAGAGATAAGAAGATTTGTACATTTCTGGCCACACTGGCTGCCAAAATGAAACAAACTGAAAGTTTCTCAGGAGCTTTTCTTCTCACAAGCTTATTTTTTTTCCCAGCTCACAGTTTCAGACGTGTCACACTGGCCAAACACTTTGCTTGAAAGCACATCTGCTGTTAAACTGACCTTGAATTGATTTCTTAAATTATTGAAATGGGGACCATACAGTGCTTGTATGCAGTTGAGGTAAAGAACGCATATAACTATGGCAAGGCTCTTATGGATGCTTGTACTCATGCATACATGTAGTGCACAGATAAAATGTATTACTGAATTTATGGTTGAGAGATGTGCATGAATGAGTAAATGTGTATCTGAAAACAGTATTTTCATCTGATTGACTAATGTGTTATATGGGCATAACTGAATTTATGGCAGTGAGTTGTGCATGAATGAGTAAATGAGAATGTGCAAACATTGCTTTTGTGTGATTGACTGATGTGTTTTTGGTGTAGTTTTGTATGCAAGGGCAAATTTAGATCTCTGTCAAATAAGCTGCTTTCCTTTTGCACTTCTCTTCTCTTTTTTGCTCTGCTGTGCCCTTCTATACTGATCATTGTCATTTTTTCCTTTCGATGAAAAAAGGAAGGAGTTTGAAGGATTCCATTGCTTGAGAATAACGAGTGAAGCTAGAGGAGGGGGATGGACAGAGATATGGAGGAGACTATTTGGCCAGGAGGAGAGTAGACCCTTGGGACATGCATCCCAATGTGCTGTAAACCATAACAGCCCCATAACAGGCAGATTTCTCATTTCCACGATGCTCAGGCCATATCTCATCTATACCGACAGTCCCACTGAGACAGCACATTGTTGGAGGAGGGGAAAAGGGACCTCCTGAGCTGAGAATACACATAATACCACATACACACAATGCAGGGAATAAATATGATTTAATTTGAGAGATAATTCAGGGACAGGGCTTTAAAAAAAACATCATAGGTTTGACGTGATGCCTTTCTGATTCTTTTAGGATCATGGGTTTGAAATATGTGCAGCTGGAGTGATTGTTCTGTTGAAGAGAAATGGATTTGTCAGTTTTTGCTTTTTTTATTTTTGGTCCATATTGAAGCTGGCACGTCAGCCATTTCACCATTCAAGAAAATGTGTCACTGGTGCTCTTTCCTCTTCTTGATGTACGAGCATTAATAAAATATAAATCTGGAGCAGTGTGCACATAAAAAGGCTAGTGGCTCCTAATGCCTCTGAGGTAATGCCATATTAATGAAGAGTGGGCAGGGCAGAAACCACCAGCAGCCCTGTTAACAGAAAGGCCTGAGGTTAACCTCTTGATTCATTTTGCACCTCTGGGTCTGAGTCCACTTGTCCTCTTGTTGATGTGTGCATTACAAAGGAGGATACTACTCTGTTGTTGTGATTCTGTAGACTTATTTCTTATCAAATAGATTTGTAATTTATCTAGTGACTAAATCTCAACATAGTTCCAAGACCTGAGTCAGGTGCCATGTGAACCTCGCTGCATTAAGCAAATGTAGTATTTTTTATTGTAGAACAACATCAAGTAAAATGATTAAAATAAGCTGAATGAGTAAATCTTATACAGATTACGTTTAACCTTATTAGATTGACAAAAGCGTAACAAAACATCTCTTTCCCTTGATCCGCCTAACATAAGCAGAACTTGTTCAAAAAATAAATAAAAGTAATCATGTTACTGTCTCTCCATCTCCAAACAGTGTTGTATTCGAATCTGAACCAAGTGAAGCAATCATCCAACCAACTTCTCTTTTTTCTAGACACATGCTGGTAGTGTGATTATATCGATCATCCAATAGAAATTCATTTAAGCCTCATGTTTTGTCATCACTACAAAACATCCTGCTCTCTCAGCAGCTTGACAGCAGAAGATGATGTATTTTTTTAATATGTCCTCCTGAATTTATTATGACCAGAGATGATTTTTAAGGGTTCCTGCAGAACACCAAAGTTCATTCATATTTTAAACTGTCCTGGCCGTCTGGCAAGCCTCTTTTCCCTTTGTCACCAGCTTTGACCTGTGATGTATACATGTGGTCCAGGAGAGATAGATCAATAGCTGTGTATCATTAACCTACATCTAGAGTAAGCTGATCTGGAGGCTGGAAACACCACACACATGAACAGCCTTCCTTGTTCATAGTCTACAGCATCCCTCTTTCTTTCCACTAATGTTTGGGTCAGGTTCATGTCCTCCTGAACATCCATTCATAAAGGGGAGGAAACAAAAAAGAGGGGAGGGAGGAGGGAGGAATGGATAGATTGTAGGGAGATAAGGGGAGAGATGGACAGAGGGAGAGAGAAGGGGAGGGATGAAGAGGAAAAACAAGCTTTGAATACAAATGAGCTGACACACAATGCATGCCCTCCCTCCCTCTCTCCTTCTCTCTCTCTCTCTCTCTCTCTCTCTCTCCCTCTCGATTTCTGTCTCTCTCACACACTGAAACACTTTTGCTCCCTCACACACATGTTCTTCGCTCTCTCCATCTCCTCTGTGTTGCCTCATTGGACCATGCACTGCACAGGAGGTAATTTCAGCCACTTAATTCATTAGGCATCACTGGTTGTTGGAACAAGCTAATTAAAAGGAGGCTTAGTGAGAGTGTGTGTGTGAGGAAGATTCAGAGACTGAGAAGCTGCTGCTGCTGCTGCAGCTGCTGTCGCTGCTGCTGTCGTTGTCTCTCACGCTTTCACTGTGGATGAGGAAGGACCAGGGGAGAGTGCAGGTAGAAGGAAGAAGAAACCAGCAGAGACGGACAGCTAGGTGGAAAAAAGATTTTCACACCCCTTTACCATCCTCTGCTCTGACATGGCCACCGCATAGGAATCTGGTGCCACGGCAACCATCAGCTTGGGGACGAGGTGTCCGAGGTAAGCTGTGAGGAAGGATGACTGGATAGGGTGATTCTATAAGCGTGTCTTCCAGGGGAACAGTCATGCTGAGGAAGTCACTGTTTAGAATTTTTCTGCACATTAAGTGGATAATTTCTTCCCCGGGTCTAAGTGTGTGCCTGGGGTGTGTGTGTGTGTGTGTGTGTTAGTATTTGTATATGTTGTGTGGTTGGGGGAGTGTCTCTCTGTGTTTTGGTATTCCCCGAACAGAAGACCTAATTATCCAGCAGCCGGTAAATCCTGTTATGGCTTTTCTCCCCTCCTTGACTTTTCTCTATTAATAGTGGAGGGATTGCTGTTTATTCAGAGAAGTGGTATGTTTGTTTGTTTGTTTGTTTGTTCTTGACTCAACTCAGGTGTAAAATATAGGCGCATTGTTTGTGGTTGCACCCTCTGTGTGTGCACAACAATTTAGTACATATGGCTCGTGACTATGATAATCCATGGTTTGAAATCATGAAAATAGGAACCACAAAGCATGTGACAAACACAAAACAGAATCAAGGCAACGTAAGAGCTGAGGGAAGTCTGAGGGAAGGTGAAGGGAGGCTTTACCCTGATCAATAGTGACAGCATGGGCTGCAGGTAAACGGTCCAAAAAAAGGAGCAAGACTATTTCTATCTCTGCTGAAATTGCTCTGCAGTCAAAGTCTTGAGTATTTAGGTTATCCCTCTGGATGTGGCACACACAAATTAGAGAACGGCTGACTGACAGCTGGCATTTTAACGCTGAATTGCTGCTGCTTGACTTGTGTTTCCACTGCATAAACAGATTAAGTAATATGCCATATGAAACAGTTTAACATCGTAGTATAAGAGAAATAACTGTACAATCGAGCTTGATCCAGATTTCTGTCCTCATTTAGCCCATACATGTAATATGTATGTGCATGTGTTAAATGTGTGCACAGAAAAGTGCACTGTGTCCTGGGGCAGGATGCTGGACTGCAGTGGTAGGAGAGAGAGGACATATGGCCTTCTGGGTCTCTACCCTTTGATTGGAGCCCTCCGAGTGTCAGGCAATTCAAATGTCTTGCTCTCCTGCTCTCCTTGTGTGTCTGTGATGATGATGTGTGTTGTTGCTAAGACAACTTTTTTTCTCCTCTCATCTCCCCCATTTTGATTTCAGTGCCTTTATGTTTTTTTTATTCTGATTTGTGTGTTGAGCATGTGTGTCTGTAGTTTTGTCTTGGGCTCTCATCTCGCTCTCTCCTTGTTTCCCCTCATACAACACATGTCTGTCTGCTCATCCGTCTCTGTCTCTGTTGACAGATGAGTTTGATTTTCTCTGACTGATGGGTGAACTATCAAATTAGTCTCCTTTTCATTCAGCCCCCTCTAATCAGATCAAAACCAGTCGGACCGCCTCTTCTGCATAGCAACTAAATTACACACAAGCACACAGATCAGTTCATTATAACCGGCTTTTGGCAGTTACAAGCCTCCAGTAACAGTGATGTGATTGTTATTTACAAAAGAAATCTGTTCAGTAACTTCTCCCTTTGCTCTGTGTTAAGACCAAACATAGTAGATAGTGCAGAGGCTTGAGGTGCAGTGAGTTTGTATACAGTACATGTTAGACCTATTACCTAGAAAAAACAAGTATTTCATCAACAGTATGGGTAATAGAAACATATTATAATTCACCTTTGAACATATGGTGATCATGCTTGCAAAAAGTTTCTTATGTACACAGCAATTACTAAGCGCCATTTGTTGGTGATTGATTGGTTTGGTGTTTTGTGTCCACCATGTAATTGTTAATTAAATAATCACTCTGTTAGCTTCAGGGAAATATCTGGCAGTGTGGATGCTAATGATTTAATAAGACACAGAAAAGGGCTAGTCGCCAACTGGGTCTGTCTGCTGTTTGCTGCTGAGCAGGTGTTATAACAAAGCAGTGAATATGTTCTCAGTACAGCTAAACAAAGAGCTGGAGCTTACTTTCAAGCTTTGTAAAGCCTTGCATATTCATTCTTAATAAAAGCAAACCTATTCAGATTGTGTGCTTAGTCGTTAGATTAAGCGTTTCAGACAATATCAATTATAGCAGCTTTAAAAACATGTATACATATAAATGTTGCATGTCTGTGTTGTTCAAGATGTGTTATCTCGTGACACTTTACAAAAAGCAGGTAAAAGACCTTACTCTTTGTTTTTTAATATTACAAAAGAGCAGGTAAAAAAAGACCATACTCATTGTTATGTTACAAAAAGCAGGTAAAAGACCTTACTTGTTGCTTTATTACAAAGACCCGGCTTAATCCATCATGAACACTTCAGCAAAGCAGCAAAAGTTACAGTGGTAAGAAAAAAAAATGGAGCTGGTAAAGTAACAAGTTATGTTACTCTTTACTTTTATTAAGAAGTAGTAAAGCAATCTTTTTGTTTTTCTATCAGTTTTCTATGTAAGTTATTGATTCATTATTTTGTTGCGTGTAAGCTTTTAGCTCACTTTCCATGTCCCGCATACTGAGCTGTGGGCAGATTTTCTTTAATTAGTTTGCAAACTGTCACCCGAATCAGCACTCATGGAAAGCTACTGAGAAACACTCACTTACACCAAGTGTGCGTGGGACAGCTTAGAAGTCTACACATGGGGAAAGTAACAAGCTTCCTAATTCTTTTTCTGTTTTTTTTAAGTGACATCATCCCTGGCTAGTTGTCCCACTTATCATTATTGTTCTTCAGTCATCAAAAGCTTTCTGCGCCACCAGAGTGTTTTTCACCCATAACACGGTTAAATCTCCAGGAGATCCACCACCACCAACTCACAGCTCAAGTGTGCACTTCCTCAGCTGGTGGGCCAAACTGTGGGAGAGAGCCTCTTTGTGCATGCCTCCCACAGAGTGAATGAAACACAAAGCAACACGTCCCAACAGCCTCTTGTGGAGAAGAAACAGGAACGATTTCATTCTGTCTCTCTGTTTCTTGTTCTCTCACTGTTTGTTTCTGTTACCTGGAAGTTGTGCTTGTTCACCCTGATACTGCTACTTTTTTTTTTTTGGGACGAGCCTCACACACACCACACATCATGCACACACAGAGTTGTAGGCTACCAACCCTCACTAAGAGCAGTCTTGGTTGGCACATTGCGTTGTTCTGAGGGCTGCTAAGAGCTTGGCTTCATGCCTTATTCATCCCTCAGGCTTATTCTTTCTACCAGTATAGAAGGGATTAGGTGGAAGAAAGCTCCCTCGCAAATCTCACAACACTCACCAACAGAATAACCTGTTTCTCCCAATCAATTTGATAGAATCATTTATGGTCAGGTCTTTTACCTGCTTTTTGTAACATAACAAAGAGTGAGGTCTTTTACCTGCTTTTTGTAACATAACAAAGAGTGAGGTCTTTTACCTGCTTTTTGTAAAGTGTCTCGAGATAACACTTGTTATGAGTTGACGCTATACAAATAAAAATTGATTGATTGATTGATTAAAAGTTTTGAATTCGAAATAGAAAAACTTATAAGTGGTACAAGTGTCCTCCATACATGAAAATAATAGATGATATCAAAAATCTATTACATTTGTAAAAAAAAAAAAAAAGATGCTGATGCACTGTTTCAGACGTGTCTTTGGTTTGGGTAAGGTGGATGCCTTCAATGAGCAGTTAGTGACATCACAGAGAAGCAGAACCTGATTGGTCCTCTTGTGTTCATGCCAAGTCTGTTTGGTCCACAGATAGACCCTTAAGTTGGACTTTGACCTTGCAGATAGAACTTTCCTTCCTTTTAAGATAAAAAAAAAAGTCCAACAATACATAAATCAAAAACAAAAGAACACCTACCAAAAGCTTTTTCAGTTGCCAAAGAAAAATAATATTTGAATAACTCATTTTGACAAAAATGTCAGATAGAACCTTAGAATTCCAAAGGGTATGCCTCCAAATGATTATGCCTGGATGTTGTTTACAGTATAACTCAGTTCTTCTTCTCAGTGTCAACAGCTTCTTCCTGTTGCTCATCAAAAATATAAAAAACTTCTGTTTTCCTCTAAAGCAGGAGTCTCTAACCTTATTTCATCTGAGACTTTGACAAAATTAAAGTGGCAGAGAGTTACTTGCATCACATTGCATTAGTTTAGTCATTTGCACTATCAAAACAAATGAACCAACCACTAAGCTATTCAGTTATACATGAGTCAACCGTCAATAACAAAAGCTTACAAAGCAGAGAAACTCTCTGTGCCACTGTGTTAGCACCAAGCTGTACATCAGCAATGGAATGTATTATTTCAGTCCTGCTTTTATGGTACCTGAATAATGTCTAGACCACTGCAGTCAATGTTTTCTTCACCCTCCAGCTGACAGTGAATGCATCTTGCGCTTTGTTAGTATGTGTGCCATTGTAATTGATGTTTTTGCCATGTTGGCCTTCTATATCTGTTGAGTGAATAGAGACTGCAGTTTTTTAAGTATTGGCTTCAATATATGCTGCCTGCTTGGAAGTCTCGGCAAAATCACACATTGAAGTGCAAGAGGTTTGAGACGGTACAAACTTTGTCTTGTTGTACGTGCAAAATGACTGTACACTTGAGTGTGCTGGCACTCTTCTTCTATTGCCAACTGAAAAGGAAAAACCAGTTTTTCTTTACTTCTCTGTCTTCAAGCACCAAATCTGACATGCATTCAAAGATTCATCCTCTTTGTGCAATATTCTGCAGGGCTTTAATTTGAATGAAAATTTACGTATTTGGAAATAGCATATGTGCATCCACCCCTACAAAAACCCATTCTGCCAAGAATGCATTATGTACAATCCAGGCAAGATGACTGTCACATTTTTCAATCAGCCTAAGCCCCAAAACTACATCCATTGTGTCTTCAAGCTAGACCAGTGATACGCAATGCGAGGCTCTCGAGCCACATGTGGCTCATTTGGGACTAGTTGTGGCTCTTTTAGGTCCTACTTGAAGTATCCAAAGTTATTATTTTAAAAAGGGAAACATTGTCAGCAGAAATTATTCTTTGCAAGTCATGTCACTGTGTTTCCCACATATATTTTAGGAAAGAAAGATTTTTTTTGATTGTGGCTCTTGCAGAAATATTATTTGGTCAATGTAGCTCTTAAGTCTAACAAGGCTGAGTACCACTGAGCTACATGGTAACTGAGTTTTAAAGTTAGTCCTAGGAGGACTGTCTTCTCCTGAGCAGTGTTCAACAGTCACACTGGGGCTACAGTTCTTTTATCAACCTAGGAGCCTATCACTTTCAACATCGGACTTTAGTATACCAAACCTTAATATACCAAAGCTTTTTTTTCTTCTTTCCCGTATCAACAAATGAGCTGAAATACCTTTTGCAGAAGGTGTCTCATTTCCTTGTCTTGTTATCTTCAGGCGCATTCTTCTTTTGTGCCACAATAGAATCCTCAAAACGTTTGGTCCATGTAAAAAATGAATACCAGTGTAATACAGCAATAAACTACAGAAAGGGATCACACTAACACCATGGAATAAATAAAAAACAGCGATGTTATTGTGCAAAACAAAGATACACAACAATAAGATATTAGGGAAAGCCCCAGATCTATCCAAAGCTCATTTGTCATGATTGGATTCCAGTTAATCTAACACTCTGGACTGGACCTAAGTAATGCCAGCAAAATAATCTGCCTAACCCTCTTTTCCTCAGGATAAGGATACAGCTGAACAGAGGGACATCCAGAGGAGCAGAGAGGGAGATGGCAGGGGAGGAGAAGCCTGGTGTGAAGAGCAGCAGTTCCATCGTCCCCTGCTTCCTCTTTGTGGAGGTAAGGAAAATGAATGAGCCATCATTCAGCAACTCATCACCAAATACCTTTATCCTGTAGTTGTAAAAGAGCATGGAGGTATTCCTTGAAAGGAAAATCCTGCAAACTTGGTCATATTTCATTTTCTCTTTCCTGTTATGGGATTTGACATGTGCTTTGTCACTGCAATAGTCCGTCCTGTCAAACTGTTGTGGCTCTTAGATTTGACTCTCCCTTCTGAAAGCACATTTCTCTCCCTACATCTCTGAAACCGAAGCCTCCGTGGTAAACATTTCAGTCAAAACAGTTGATGACGCTTCAGAAAACACACAACCGTGGCTTAAACTCCTACTTGGTGTCACACACGTTATCCTGTTCCAGCACCAGGGGCAGCTGTGTCGCTGTGAAGTGGCTTCAGTTGTTCTATGCAATGCTGAACATTTTCCAGCATATTTGTGAACTGCATGATTCATTTCAGGGGGTTGTGGATGCCAGAGCACACAGAGAGAGAAAGGATTTTAGCGAGTGCACTGTGCGGGCTGTAGAGTTGTTTTGTACAAATCATGCCAAAGGTCATTTTCTGTGGCAGACCAAGAGTGCTCAGAGAAACACACTGATACTCAACTGAAAGAAACACACCTACCACTTCATCCCCTGTGGAAGCCATGCTCTGTTTGAGCAGTCAGACGGATGACTCAGAGGGCAGTGGAAGTCCCAGAGCCTTCACCACGTTGCAACAGAGGTGGAGAAAAGCATGAACTGGTGAGGTAATCAGACTGTCTTTAATCTAATTAGACACTCTGAGCAGTCATGAAGCTCACTGAATTGAAGTAGGCCAACCATCAGTTTTTGTGCTGGAGATCCCTGGCGTAAGATCAGCCTTCTGTTGAAGATTCAAACAGATGAAGTTGTTTGTGTTGCATCATTGCTTTGCAGGAGGACCTTGATGTTATGTAGATGTTAAGTAATTATGGATTTATATTCTAAATTCACTGAAAATCTATGCTGCACTGCATGCATACCTAACTGTATCTTAGATAGTTCAGCACAGGATACGTTATGATCCAATTAAGTAAACCAACTCAAGTTAAAGGATCAATTCCTGTAATGATTCGGGAGAGTCGGACACAATTGCGGACCCTGGATATCTTGAAGTTATCACACAGTGATAACTACTAAAATTGAATTTGGAATAGTTACAATCCAAATAAATAGGCTTCCTTTACTAATTAGCCCTGAGATAAGGTGAAACTAAACCACTGCTGCCGAGCACTGATAAAACTACATTATAGGAAAGAACTAAGAAACTCACTAGAGCTGAGACACAAAGGCCGCCAGGCCATGTTTATAAAGGAACCAAAAAGGCTGGGTCAAAAATTCCCAGCCCCAACAACCTACACTGATAGAGCTGCTGGAAATATTTAGCAAGCCAACTGGTTCTTATGAAGAATCACACACTTCTACAGACACAAGAAACACAGAGACAACCCAATCACTGGCCCTTTCCGAATAGACACAGTTCAGTATTCAGTGCGGACTTTTCAGACGATTTACGTTTATTTTCGCACAGCATTGTGGGTGGTAAAATACAATTCATTTCCTGAAAGGATGCATCCGATCCATACTGCATGAAACCCGGAAGTTAGTATCCATACTGAAATGTTCAGTATACTGAGGTGGACCCAAAATATGCATACTGAATGACCACGAAAGTGAAACTCCCTATTGAAAAGTACATACTGCCTACTGAATTGTGGCTATTCGGAAACGGCCAATGAGTCAGCACAGAGTACTGTAACTCAAGGGAATATATAAGTTTAACACACCTGGTCCAAATCAGGGCCAATCAGTCACACACGCACACCTGACACTGCACAGAGAGATGATTACCTACCCAAACTAAGTGAGACCACAGTGACCTCCCTCACAGATTCCAGTGTAATAACATAAAATGTATAGTCAGAACAAATGTTTCCCACTTTTGAGATATGCATTCCAGGATGTTCTCTGGAAAGTTCAGGTGGGTGCAGAGAGAGAAATATGAAGCAAAGGTTAGTAAAAGAGACAACTTGATGTTGGTATTTCCCAAACATCCCTGAAAGAGTTTCTATTGTTTGGCTGATTTGGTCCCCTTTAAGAACACAGTAAAAAAATGTTCTGTAGTTGTGACGCGCATCAGAAGGTTACTTTTCACTCCTTTAAACATTACTCAGTTTAATCCATGCACACAGACATTTAAAATGAATTCAGATGAAAGATTCCTGAGGATGTCGCGTCCCAGATTTACGCCAGGAATTAAAGTCAGATTAGAAATAACTGACAAAGGAACTTTTGTCATTCCCAAACTTCCCCAAGACTCATCACATTCTAAAGAGATCCTTTAGTTAGCCCAAGGCTTACTCGCTGTCTTGATTGTAATATCATATTTCCAGCCATCACATTAGTTCATATTCCACAAAGCCACCAAAAGTATCACGAATGGAGAACCGAGAGCACCATTATCATGCAGGTGCAAGGAGAGTAGACCACAATAAAATAGTTACCCGCCGCGCCCATGTGAGCCTGTCTGAAGCACTGGTCCCTTCGGTTATAGTACAATATAAAAGCTCTCCATTAGTCCACTCTGCCATACGCCTCCCACACACATCATTACTCAGCCCTCAGGTCTCAGTCAATTCCCTTGCTATCACTACATCTGTGAGTGTGTACCAGTGACTGTGTGTGTGTGTGTGTGATAGAGAGTATTACTACAGGGATGGAGTAACAGCTGCTGGTACCTCTGATGGAGGGAAGCTTCCTGTTACTTGTAGAGAGGGCAGCTTTCATTAGCAGAGGAAAGCCTGAAGAAGACAACCAGCCTATTGCTCCTGCATAGCGTAATAGCACATAACTGTTTCCTGAAATTTTTCACTACAGGCTAACAATTTAAAAATTGTATGATGGAGAAGAGGATAGAGTGTATTATGAAAAATCAATCTTTGTTTATAATCATATTCTGAGCAAATGATATCTGTTTATTCTTAGATGTGTCGCCCTTATTAAAATCACAAAAACCTTGATGTGTCCTGATTTAGTGCTTGAAGCTTCATGATATTGTGTTAAAAAAAACTGAGGATTAAACCGTATTTCCCAGAAAGACATAGAACAGAATCAACATATTGCTGCTTAGCATGTGTATAATATACAAGTAATAGTAAAAACTATTTCTTCAACAGCTTTAGTCCTCACAACAAGCTTTGGGGAGAAGAGTGTCGGTAGTAATCATTGTTGATTGTTTAAACTTTTCAGCTACATGGTGAGCAGTAAGTTTGCCTTTGACAGGTAAAGCCATTAGATTTAAAGAAATGATCAGACTGTTTTATTCCTGCAACAGCCACATGTTTTTTTTTTTTCAGAATAGCCTTTTTGTTTAAAATTCAATTTTCGATTTTATTTATTCATTGCTATTGCTTTTTGTTGTAAACAAGAAATGGCTTTCAGAATGAGGACTGAGAAAAGTGTTTGAAAAACCCATCAGTAAGCTCAAATAAAGTAAAGGATAGCTGCTTATGTTAGCCTTGATTTACAGCATCCAGTGTTGGCTGGATGAATGTTGCTTGAGCATGCATGGTATGCTAACACTCTGATTGGTATATTGATGTAAAGTTTCATGAAAATCTCACATAAACAAATAATTAGAAGAGTTTTGTCTATAAGGCTGAGTTTCATTTCTGTTTGATGGTAACTTAAAAAGAAAAATCCTAAAACCACTCTTAAAATATTTATGGAGTTAATTTTTACCCACCATCTGATATGTGAATGTTCGAGTTAAAAGGACATCATAGAAAATTCCATAAAGACTTCTTTCATATCAGCTACTTATTTCATTTGTTTTGATTGTTATTTGCACATTCACTAAAGAGTGGCTTGTGCGATATGCTGCAATGTGCACTCAGGAAAGAACAGACAAAACACATTATTTTTCCCTAATATGAACTGAAGTCAGATATAATCTGGCCAACAATCAATCACACTGGAAATCAGGCCACTGAGTCACCGTATAAACTGTGTTTGGAGGAGATGAGCTCATTATGGATGCTGCTGCTAACCAGACCCCGATGGTAAAGAGTTTCCTCTCTTTCTGGCTCCTTTGGCCTTAAAGTGTCTCTGAGATCCAGCAAATAAAATCAGAATGAAAAGAGAAGTTTTTTTTTTTTTTGCTACTCTTTACATTGGAACATTTTATAAGAGGATGTCCGCCGGCCCCGTGTCCGACTCTCAGCTCCCCTCTTCGGCCTTCCTCTCGCTTCTCTCTCCTCCTCATCCCTAGAGGTTTAGACTTAAAAACTTAGAAAGAGAGAAGTGTTTTTTGCTACTCTTTACATTGGAACATTATGTAAGAAAGGCACTAAATTAAGAATTTACCACAACCTGTTACACAGTTTTATTCGCTTTTATGTTCTAGCTGAACCATCCCGTCCTTCATTTTAAACAAACACTTCTTGTGAAGTTCTGATAAGAAAAGCAGCATGGAAAAAAATTAGAAAGCACGATTTTAGTGCGAATAACTTTGTGTTACTGGCAGAGAAAGTCATCACAAACTCAAGTGTTGAAAATTTAGAATTGAGCATCTGTGCTGAGAAGAAAGTGTGAAGTAATGGGCAGGGAACTTGACAGCAAAGATGTTTATTTCTACACTGTTTCTCAACAATTGGAGAGTCATCATTATTTTTTTGGCCATTGGTCCTTTTTTTAATACACAATATACAATGTTTCTGTTTTTCTCTGCCTAGCTAATACCTTATAGGTTTGCATATTTTTGGTTTCAGGCCTGAACATCTTTACAATTACCCCAGCAACAGTCAATCAATCAATCAATCAGTCTGTGTTTCTATGGACCCCATTCATAACAAATGTTATTTCTGGACACTTACTATTATACTTGTATTATATTATATTATAATATTATGCAGCAACTCTCTCATTTATAATGATTTCTCTCCACTGCTTCTGAGATTTAAATCCTGAATCTTACTGCACTG